TTAATCATCGCCACGTACGACAGAGCATAAATGTGGCTTGGCTTTGGCGGGGGGAATGGACAAGCAGAATATTTAATGAGAGTGGCTACATGTGGTTTGGAGGGAAACTTCGATTTATCGTGTGATGGCTCGAAATTCCCATTCACCCTTGCCTATGACCAGATAACTCCGAATATACAGAATATACTATGGGGGGTTGCCTAGAAACTTCAGATCTTGTAATGCTGGACTGCGAGTTGGCCAGGAGGTGGCAGCATAGCAATGGATTTTTGAATACATCTGTGCCAAATTAAGAGTGTTATCCTCATGTATGAGTGGGGATAATACTTAAATAAATGCTATTTTTTCCAAATGGAAAGTTACGTGTAAGGATCACATTTGAGATGAATTTGAGATTTATGGAGGCCAGTAAATGGCAATACAGCAATTATTATTTTGAATCTATCTGTGTGGAACTTGGAGCTTTATTCCACATATGCGTCAATTTTCTCCGGGTACTCTAATTTCACTTCCACATGCCAAACACTCGTGAGCGGAATTTGCCAAACATTGCAATGTAGGATCCTTCCTTACGAAACAACGATCACAAGCGGGAATTTCGCGAGTAAGTTAAAGGGCGTTCGTTAATGCTACCCATTGCACCTCGCAAAAAGTGGCTGTGCGGGTAATTCTCAACCAAAGTCACTGCATAACTCGCCGAGTCATTAAGTTTGCATTAAATTCGACTCTCTCGACGTCGGACGTGACCAACGATGCGCGAGCTACAGTCGCGTGACATTTCGTCTTAGTGGGACGGTAGTGGTGGGAGGGAGATTCTTGAGTTATTGTGTCGATGGGATGAGTGTTGCTGTGTGGGTTGAGGGAGTGAATTGGGGACCCTCGGGGCAACAACAATAAAACAGGTGGAGGCATGGCATGGAATTGTGGATAAGCCACAGCATTAAGTGGTAATGTTCACCAGCAGATGTTTGGGCTAATTGGATAGCCAATGGACGAAATATTTCCTGTTCTTTTTATTTCAGCATCAGCAAATGCTCCATATGTGCCGACTATTTTCCGTGGAAAGGAAATTGATTCCACGACGTCTTCACTGTGATGCTTTTCTCCGTGAAGACAAAAGTCGAAGCATGGAGATGAAGCTGAGAGCTGTGTGGTACTCACGGATGCCATATCCGACTGTTATATGTTGACCATCATGTGAATTTATTTTTGGATACATATCACTTTTTAATGCGTTAACCATTTTCAAGTATTATACCTCATGATCGGTTGGTGTTTAATACAAATATGTACATTATTACGAAATATTTTTTGTTTGTTAAATTTAAGAAACGGTCAGTAATGTATAAAAAAAATATACTGACCTAACGCTTATGGGGAAAAGGGCAACATGTACAGCACATTATGAGTAAAAATGCAAACGTATTGTAAAAAAAACCCAGCTTTTTCCGATTTTTGGGGATTTTCAAAAGTGTGGGAAAATCACCCTACGAAGCTGGGGAAGATATCCCTGATTGGCATGAGTAGGAATATGAAAGAGTGCACTGAAGAATGAGGATCAGAGACGGGTGGTGAAAATGCTTCTGAGACCCATTAAAACATGACTCTTGCATGGTGTTCCAACGTATTTGAAGCCACATGTTTTGTTTTGATCATGTGACATCGGTATTGGTGGACGTGAAATTACAAGGCGGTGTTTCGCATTTTAGAACGCGGGTGCTAATTGGCTACTACCGAAACAAAGCATTTTGACCGCCCGCTCATGCAGTTTGTCTTTCAGGAGAATGCAGGAATATTGTGTTGATTGAAAAGGGACAAGCAATTTGTGAACTTGGAGGGCAGTAATTGTAGTGGGCATATGCATATTTCATCTGCTGATGTATTTGTATTGCTGTAGCATAGTGAATCATGTGGTTGCGTACTGAAAGTCGGTGATTTATTACATTACTGCTGCTCTATTTACCGTACGTCATTGCTGTCATGCATTTGGCATCTTCACTCACTAGCGAACTGTATCAAAGTAAGCACGACGATACGTAGGAATGGATAACGGCACCATTTCCATTCAACTGTATGGCATACATTTATATATGTCACAGCATTCCAATGTAACAGTTCAAAATATTCTGGCAATGTAATGGTTACACTGTATTGAGGTGAAAATAATAATAAAACAATTAATTTATTTCAATGTATCAAGCATATATTCCATAGGATTATAGTTTTTTTCTTAATTATGTGAACTGGTATGATGCCTATTTAAAATTGTCATCGTTTGTAATATTTTAAAGCATTTTTTTTAAATAACGACAGTATATCGCTGTTTCAAATGAGAGTGTATCAACAGCTTTGAAAATATATTCGTCTTCATGTTAACGAAGTAAATGTTTGATTTTGACCTTGGTTTGTGGGAGCTTGAATGACTGCGTCGGTTTCCGTGAAGTCAAATGCCCTTTCCCAGTTTACAAAAAGCCAGGCAACATTGGTTTGCTCTTCTTTTGTCTTTTCTCGCATCGAGTCGATAAAATGTACGTGTGGTCACTGCAAGAGAACCCTTTTCTACAACCAATTTTACACTCGCCATTGGTTGCCCTCTAAATTGACCGTCATTTGTTTCACTTTGATCTTCGTGAACCCTTCATGAACATGGGGGAAATTAAATTAATAATTGGTCTCTCAATCTTCAAATCGGGTTTGTCTCCCCATGTTTTTCATTGGCAAATTATTTGAGGCATCGTTCCGCAATTGGAGGCGTTTCATTTCTGTGTAAAGTTGTTGTAGACAGGCCGCGAATCTATCCATTTTTCTCATACTGTGAAGGTTTGCTGCATCGCATGTGACATCTGGAACATCCTCCTCCTCTCCTGAACAAATGCTTTCCTGGGTATATGAATTATATGCTCTCAAGATCTCTGTAGACTTCTGCTACTAGTGTTATGATTCATTTTCCACCATGCACTTTTGGTTTCATCTTGATTTCGGGCGCTACTACAGTATCTGTTATTTAACTATGATTGTTTTACCTATGCAATACTCTCTTTGATTGCTATGATGCTTGCAATCATTTTTGTTGCCTTCGCTAATTTTTTTCCTAATTGTTTTCTGCAAGTAAACAAAAAGGTGTTTTATATTTTGTTCGTGACATTTACATTTCTTTGCATACCTCTGCTCTTCTTGAACATTCTCTATTGTGGTTCTGGGTATCTTGTCCCCAGCTTGTTCTATTTTGCCTCCAACTTTCAATGCACTTTCTACTACAAGTTTTCTTCTTATTTAAATTGGTGAACATCTAATGCTCCGTAGCAATGATCAAAATCTATCACAAAAATGTTAACAGATATCCTGAGATTATACAGGATAACAAAATACAACGTTAGAAGAGGAATACGGTATAGATGTGCTGTTACCCAAGGCCATCAAAAACATCGGGAGATATTTTCCGAAAATGTATTGAAGAAATAAAGGTAAAGTGATCATTGGTGGAAGTCGTAACCATGTTGGATTCGCCGAAGACAGAGTAATTATAACAACCAATGGAAGTAGTCTACAGGAAAAAATAAAATCTTAAGAGTGAAGGATAGAAAGTGGGGATACAGATAAATATGAGCAAAGCTAAAGTCCCGTACAACATATTCTTGGTTCTTTCGGTAACGCCACGTAGATAGAAAATAAAGAATAAAAATACAAATGTAAAATAAAGATAATGAATTGAAAACAATAAAAGCAAAAATACCCACGACGTTTCGATCGCAACAAAAGCTGTCTTCATCCGCCTGACGAAGACCGCTTTTTTATTTAATTGTATTATTTTTATTTTCTATCTACGTTACTTTACCGAAAGAACCAAGAATATGCATTCCAGCAGTCACGAACGTTTTAAGTCCCATAAAACAAATACGTTAAACAAAAATCAATTAGTGTTGAAGGGACAAAACTTGAAAATACGAAGGATTATCTTTATATATGTAGAATTTGTTGAAGGTACGCAACGATCATACAGTGAAAATTGAAGGTTAGAGTGGTGTTGTTGAATCTAATTTAATAATGAAAAGCAATACTGATGTTCCTAAAGAAGAACATTTTCAATATGTGTGCCATAACTGCCACAACATGAATCTGAAACCTGAACTTATCGGAAAATATGGAACACAGCATGAAAATTGTACGCAAACGCTTGCAGAGATGCATTCTGGGATTTACAGGGAGAGTCGGGGATATGAACACATAGATCAGAGAGCAAACACGAATTTGAGATATGTTGACTCTTCAGACTAGTTTGGGGATTTGGACTTTGGCAGGATATATTGCAAGAAGAATCCATAGGTAAATTTTTATTTAAAGCTTTCGTGACTGCAGTAATTCATATTCTTAGCTCTTTCGGTAAAGTCACGTTGAAGGGAAACAATAAAATATTTTATTGTTATATATATATTTTATTATTTTATTGTTTCCCTTCAACGTGACTTTACCGAAAGAGCTAAGAATATGAATCCATAGCTAATTGATGAGACTGGAGATGGAATGGCAAACAAAGGAGAAACACTGCCACAGAGATGGAGCAATGAAATCAGTTCATATGCATGCGCGAGATGGATCTGCTATTAAACCTTTACGAAAGAAGAATACGTGAGATGGATCGTGCCAATTTTAGAACCGTCAGCGATAGCGACGACATGGGGAAGCCTTCATCCAGCAGTGGATAACTAATAATTGATGACAAAAATATGCACGCTACTTGTTGGGGTGTTTGTCCTGTCACTTCTTTGCAAGCACAGAACAGAAAATGGTTCCCATGTTTCCCATGTTCTGTGATGCGTGGAAGGAAATGCAACGGGCACAAGGAGTGCTCATCTCTGGCCTATTCGCTGCATCGTGCATTGGTAATGAGTAAAAAAAAACACGAAGAACACAATAATTCTGGTATCTGCTGAGCTTAGAGCATTGGCCTGATTTTTATTTTAGTTTTCAAACGTTTTGTTTATCTTTCCGACCTTTTCGCCCAATTGTATCATAATTGTGCCACTGTCATCATATCACGTGACAAAGTATCCATCAGTTGCAACGCGTTGTGTTAGAGAATTTCCCACGGAAGTGAATATCGCAGAGCTACCTACTGCGATGGCTTCAAGTCACGTCTCATCCATACAACAGAGGGGCAGCATTTTCCCACTCACTCCGCATGAGAGTAATGTTCGTCGCGTGACAGTCAAAGCGATATTTTAATTCTCACAGTTGGAATTTTGTCTAATTAAGTGCAAAGCCAAATTCAATATTATAGGGGTGTGGGGGGGGGTGTGCAGTCAGTTTTAGCCAGGCTGAGAGCATCACCTCACTACACTTGAGAACACCGTGTAATCGTCGCAGGCAGCTGACTGGAATTCAACCCAGGATCATAGTGGGAGCAGCTCAAAGCGCTGACTTCTGGGCCATCTGGTCACATACCCCCCTCCCCCCACGCTGGTTTTGAAATTCAAACAGCATAGAAAAAACATTGCGTCACGTATGAATGTACGATTTTAGTGAATGTGCACATTTGTGTAAAATGTAAGCAGTAATTCCAGTTTAAATGTCAGGATAAAAGTGTAAGCTTCATTGAAATATCTTGGCGTTTATTTTACAGCTAATGCTTAGATTTGCTATGTAGTTAGTTTATTACAGCGTAAAAGTCACCTTTGATAAGCAAACAAGTTATCCTAGGTTAACCTTGATAACAACCAGTGGTGTGGCAGATAAAGTTACACTGGTCTATTAATTTATCTGCATACATTGTTGTTTACTGTGGGTTTATGAGGTATATCCAGCTTGAATTAGTCTCTGTATGAATTAGTTTTAATTAAAATGACCAGGAATGCCCCCATGGTTGAGCCTGGATAGCACTTGGGTAGATGACAGCCCCCATATACAAAACGTCACGTGTAGTAGAGGTATCGTTGGCAGCAGAGGACAGTGCAACAAAATGCGTTATGCACTCATCTCTCACATTCAACCCACACTGACCAGCGTGGTGAAATATGGCCACGTAGTTCCCACAGCTTGCAAGACATCGGGGGAGTTCCTTATCCACCAATGGATTGACAAATATGGGCTCTACATGTAAATGCAGAGCATGGTTATAATCGATCCGGACCCTGACAATGCCTGTTGAGTCTGTGTGTTCTTTTTCAGTGGTGGTCGCGTGGATTTTTCTCCCGGTCCTCCGATGTTTTCCCTTCCGCGTTTAAATATGGTTCTAGTTTAGTTTATGAAACATATTCAGCAAATAGCAATATTTAAATTGTGTGGGAATACAATTTCTGCCATAAATCAAAATGAAGTTTGCCAGCAGTGGAATTATTGCTTCACTAACTTTGTTTAATAATTAATGTAAAAGACGTTGCCATTTGAATATCGCCCTCTAGTGATCGATAAAGGTAAATATATAGCCCCTCCGGTTAGCGCGGTTGGCTCCGTACAGAGCGAACGAAAATCAACATACAGTACATACATGACGAGATGTTTCCCATAATGGGCACTATAATATATGCTGAGTAAAACCCGTTGATATTTGTATTGTTTCAGGTTAAATTTTAGTGCTTTGTGAAGTTAAATGCCAAAACAATCTGGACGCCACTTCTAAAGGAAGGGTTAAACAACGCTTCCTCGGTATTTTGCGTAAAAAAATACGAGAGACCGTCATTGTCAGTGATCAAATACGCATCGATGGTTTCAAGTCGAATCAAAGAATTTGCATGATCGACGAATTAAAAAGGCAGATATCAGAGAAAAATGGAGTACAGGACAGTAGTTCATTTTATTTCACAGTTAATCCATGCGGCATTTTTATTACGATGCTCTTAACACGATGCTCTCTGCATTAGAGCATCGTGTTCGAGAGAAGTATTACGACTCCCTATGGGATGCTCTCACGTCCTACTATTTAGGCGGTCACTGCAGCCGTCTGGAACGTTCTTCCGTCCGATATTAGGAAGCCACTGGGGGATATGCATTTTAAAATCTAGATTGAAAACTCATTCCTTGAGAACTGCTTTTTCGTGCGTTACTTTGTCGTCGTTCCCCCGGCACCTCCGATTGGCACGGTTGGTTACGTACGGTGCGAATAAAGTTTAACATACATTTAGGTCCCCTCCCGCAGTGGGGAGACGATGCAAAGTAAACAATCTGCCGAGAGACGTCTAGACACACACACAAAATTAAAGAAGTGCCTGCTTGGTAAATAGAGTGGAAGAGCGCACGCGTACACCGCTGAGAACACACGGCTGTCACAATGCAGTGACTGCCGCATCGGCTTCGCGAGCAGTACATGGCTATTGCGTGCGAAGGCGATCCCTTCAGAACGATGCCTGCCATTAATGGGGTGAATAACCCAACTACCAAAAAAAAGAAGCCTTGGCAAAGGGCTGCTGAACAAAATGTAAAAGGTGCAGCCTTGCAATTGCTTGTTCGCACCACTGCTGGCAGAAGGGGCCTCTGGTGAGCTCCTCTCCAGGATATTTTGGCATACTGTTCCATGGCCAGACGTCTTGAAAGAGGTGAGAGTTGCCCACACTCTACCCCACCACACGTGGCCTGTCGATCGACTCAGTGTGGTCTTCCCACTTTGTACTGCTGGGTGAGCAACAGCGAGAATATAATTCATTTACAAATGTCATAGAGTAGCCCTAATCACGCCCTTTAAATGCAACAGAAAATGTGCTAGTAATTATTTACACAGGTTATGTAAAAAAAAATCTAAAATATAACATGAAACTAACAACATCTAAAAATAAAAGATCATCTTTAAAAAAAAAAGCCCCAGAATTGTTAGCTAGAATAATGGCTACGGCACAGAAGATGCCATCACGATTTCTTTACCACGACCCTCCTCTGGCTCCTGTCCCTTCTCTTTGTCCTCTCCTCGTGCTCCTTCAGGCGTCTCTCGTCCGCCTGCACGTCTGACCCTGCCTCGGGCTGCCTCTGTGGCTGGCAAGCGCTGATGCCGGCCAAAATGCCCGGGTGGTCGTGCAGCTGAGAGAAGTCCTTGTAGGGCAACTGGGCACCGTGTGCAAAGCTGGAGGGGTGGGACGGGTGCCAGGGCTTCTGGGGCTCCTCCCCGGTGAAGACGCTGGCCATTGCGATGTCCATGACTCTCAAGCTGTACTTGGCCACGGTGTGCTTGAAGTTGTACTCCACGGTGAGGCAGTAATACGTCCCACTGTCGTTTACGTGCAGCACGCGAAACAGGAGCCCTCGCTCCGTTTGCATTATGTTGGAATTGTAAATAACCTGAAATGCAATCCCGTCAGCGTATATGTTAGCGAGTACAACAGAAGTTTAATAGAAAATTATTATCTAACATTATATCTGTGCTGGCCAAATGGCTCGGAGGTCAGAGTGCTTAGCAGGCACCGTTGACATTTGTTTTGAATACAAAAATCTGCCCACGATTAAACGGGCATCTTGAGTGACAGTCAGTTAAACTAAAAAAATAAAAATATGTTTTTGTATTACTAGGTAAGGCTCAATGAGCTATATACCTGGCCACAAATGATAGCTCATGTGGTAATGTATACCAGCAAAATACTCTAAACGCATGTTTCTAAATTTGGAAGGAAAAACCGGAGGACCCGGAGAAAAATCCACGCGACCACGGGGAGAACATGCAATGTCCAAATATACAGGCGTCAAGGTCGGGATCGAACTCCTGTATACCAGGCGAGGTAGTTAACATCTTGCCACCATGGCGCTGACATTTCTGAATGAAATGTTAATGTCTTTACATGGTGCTGATTGCACAATTGGAATATATTGGGTCTTCAAAAAAAATCAATGTGAACAAAAATTCAAACCAACATTCAAATAAATGACACCCTTTTCACGATTGTATTTCGTTGCTAAGATTGATTTCTCATTCATGTACCTTCAACGCAAAGTTTTAAATACAGTCTTTTATCCGGTGTTTAAAATCTAGAAGACAGTGGGCTAAATTCATGGAGCAATTTTGGCAGTAATTGTTCCACCTTTTAGAGGATTGGAGAGTCCTCCTGCAGAGTCCTCCTGGACATTTGTGAAAAATAACTTCATAGCTCATTGGATTATTCCAGTTTAAATAAAGATTCTGATCAAGATTTAGAAATACTAATTAATCAGGGTGTTTTGCACGAGAGGAAACTGCAATGCTGAGAGAAAAACCATGTATCCCATTGGCACTCCCTCGACTGCAGGATTTCGTGTGGAATTCAGCTTAGACTCTTTCTGTGAGGTGAATCGTGACAAAAATCTCTCGCGTTAAATTTGGATGAAAAAAAAAACTTTTTCAGAATGTCTTACTCATGCCAGAATTCTACTAAAGTATGCACATATTCTGCGTGGACCAGGCCTACTCAGGCTTCCAAATGCTTTGATTGCAAATGTCACTGTTCTTGATTAATTGATGGGTCTTAGGATGGGGAAAAAAAGCACTCAAAATATCCTCTGGGTAAAGATATGTATATTTTTTTACCACCCATTACGTAAGAGTTGGAAACTGAACGTAGCTGTGCAAAGAAGTGAAATGTCGCGTTTTAAATGTGTAGTTAAACACACACCTCTTTCTTTCTCTTCGTGTCATGTCGCTGCACAATCCATTTCACGGACACCTGCGCGGATCTGGGCATGCACTCCAAGAACACGCTGCTTCCCTCTACTCCAAACTGCCGAGATTCCACTGCTTCCCTGTATGCTGCGTATAACACCATTTAACTAGTCCACACTTCAAAGATCACATTCGCCAAGGTACATACATTTAATTGTCACGTGTCACTAAATGAAAGGTCGAGGTGTAGAGGCCGAGAAAATATGTGAATTTGTTGTTACTGGGAATCAGCAAAAGTGTTGGGCGACCTCCAAACCCAGCTCTTGACTTTACAGTTTGGTAAGCCATATCATGATTGTGCCTTTATACTGTACGTAATAATAATTTGGTAACGAGCACTTACATCTTACATTAAATCCTTTACATTCTGTTAATGGATTGCCATGCCTTATGTCTTGACGCCTTCTCCTCCTGCAAATGTAAAATATATTTTATTATATATTTATGTCCCTATGCATTGTACATTTACATCAATATGAAAACCAAAATCCTGTTGTTAAGGCATGGGTTAATGTGCATGTATCAATTAATATTGCCTATTAACACATCTAGTCAATGTGGAAGAGTAGGCCAAATCCCTTAGTGATCACCCTTAGTGATCTACACCAGCAGTGTGGTATGAGCAAGCAATGGCATGGCTGGACCTTCACCTTTCATTAAAGTTCGTTACGTAACATTTTAAATTAAAATTATCCGTAGTGTAATGGCTTCAACTGGCATGTGACATTTCCAAAAAAAGATAAAAGACTTTTTAATGTGTATTATCTTCATAACATGCACGCTGGGCAAGCATGCAATCACTCATAATGCCGCAATGTGCGCAGACATCGTGCACATTAGAACGGACTCCGCAAAAAATGCTGGCTATGAAAAGTTGGCCCGCAAATTTACGCCGTCTCAGCTTTCACAGGTACATCGAAGGCGCACGGCGGGGAATGCGCGCGAACTGCAGCGGCGCAGCACGCGCCACATTGGGGATGCGGACACGCACCGTTTGTTTGTTGGGTAATATCGGGAACACTGCTGTCCATCCCACGCACAGTATGGGTCCCTTGCGAGGCAGCATTCGGCACACGCCTTGCCATAGATGCCACAGTGGTGCAGAGCGAGCTGGGTGATGCCCTTCGCCGAGCTAATGAACAGCTGTTGCTGTGAAAATAAGCAGCCGTGCAAGTGTCCTTGTAAAAGACAATTCCTCCGCGCATGATTAATTTTGTTTGCGCTTTTATTTTTCCCTCGAAAAAGTTGGTGAGATGGCGTTGTCTTTTTGCACACGTTTCCTTATTGCAATTTACATTGTGCGCGTGAGTCAAAATTTGTGCGTGATGTGTGATTTTGTGTACCTTTTTCGAAGATATTTTCATGGAGAGAATTGGTGTTGGAACCTGTAATATAAGCATTTTACATGGGTTCATATACAAATCCTGTTCCAGAATTTTAAGTGTGTAGAACCTAAATAATTCCATCGAGAAACCCACATTCACTCTTACTTTTGCTTGCTTCGAATTAAATTATGAGACAGAAAGAGGAATGCATGGATTAGAGAATGAACACATGTTAAATACCTCATTCAAACTGCAAATAAAAGTCAAGTTATTTTAGCTGGTTATGTGTCACGAGAAGGAATATTGGCCGTTGGTCAAGAATAGTGAAAGTGGCAAGCCAAGGCGTGGAAAGCGTCTGAGAGGACATCGGCTGGAGCGATGGAACGAATAAATTATCTCGTGGGCGTGGCGCTGGGTGGATTGTTGCATCGCAGGATGGTGAGGGATGGCGGAAGCTTGGGGAAGCCTTCATCCAGCAGTGGATTGGTCGTGGCTGATCATCAGGATGATTACAGTTTCTTTACTGCAACCGAGGGTGATTCATGATTCATTTGTGAAACTGAGTGACACTTACCTTGAAAGCATCTACCTCCTCCAAAAACAGCTCCTCGGACAGGCCGTCATGCTTTGGCAAAACTGTTATCTTTTGCACGGTTCCAATGTCTGCAAAACACAATCCATTTAATGGTGCACAAATTGTGGTCATGTGTTTAGCATCCCTCTGGCATCCAGCGAGGGTAAAAGCTAAACAAGGAGTGGAAAGTGTTAATTAGTGATGAGAGAATTAAATACCTGTTCCGAGGAACAAGACGTCATAGGTGCCATCCCCAGCCACAACTCGGTCGACTGAAATTTTAGTGATCTTGTAGTCTGTGTTTACTCGCATGATCAAGGTCTTCTTGGCGATGGGGTAGATGGGGTTGTACATGAGTGGGTGATTCCGTATGAAATTGGCCACTTCCTCAGGGAAATCTTTGGTGGATTTCATATAAGGTGTGAACGTTCCTCCTGGGCACTGCAATTGATAAATTAGACACAGATTTGACTCTCCAGACTCAAATCGTGTTGGCTTTTAGAAAGACAACAAATCTGGAATTTGCACATATTGTTGTGTACACCATCGATGTGGCTCGTCCCAAGCTTCCTCAGTGGAATGTCCGCCAGCTCAAATATTAATGTAAGAGTGTATTTTCAGCTTCAGTCAACGTGTATTTCTTAATCCGTGTGAACTCGTGGAAAAAAAAATATGCAGGTATAAATAAATCAATGAATTCCACTTAGTGTTCAACATAATTCGCTTCATGCTGGCGGCAATTAGTCTATTTATTTGTCTATTTTGACGGCTAGGGTTTTTATCTTAAACTTTTGCCAAAAAAGCAATCCACAGGCAATTAAAAAGTAATAAAATTACAGCGAGTAAACTGGCCCGCAGTCGTGTTTTTTTTACACCATCCATCAACCAATTCAGTCATATGTTTTCCAGAACATTTCATTAAAATATGTGATCCTTTAATGTTGCATGCATCGTGGATCAAATATTTATCAACATCCCGAACCCGTTTTGGAATACTGAGTATTATTATTATTGATGTTTGTCAAGATTCAGTGCCTTCTCGTTGCTCTGTAAAATTTCACTTGTCACATATAATTTGTTAAATGTTTAACCATGGTAGCACATGCTCAAATGGAAATGCGAGGTCGTGACTTACTGTTCCGGGCCTTGGGTATGGGATCTTTCCTTGGTATGGAAGCTGCTGATATCCAGGTCCTTCGACTTGTGCGAAAGGCCCGTTGAACACTTGCCGTGCTTCGGCCATGCTATATATGCAGATAGCAGAACCCTTGAATACAGATCTAACGGCATAAAAATAAAATGTATGCGAGATTAAGTATTTTGGAACGCTTCATTTACCCTCCATGCATGGACTTTTTTTCCTTAAATGTCTATAGAATTTGAAAAGTACATAGACAATAAGCAATAACACATATACAGGGTGCTTTAAAAAAATGTTAACACTTCTGAGAATGGTTTTTTTTTCAGCTCAGAACAACACCACAAGAAATGGTGGCCCCAGGCTCTGGAGACCACCTGGAGAATAATCCAGGCCACGTGTTGACAATGATGGCGAACAAGTGGAGACTTTGACTTTTTGAAGCTATTAACATACATTTGTTGTCGTGTTACAATTTATTATCCATTCTTTTTCCATTGAAAACGATAGTCCCATATACGTGTTAACATTTTTTGAAGCACCCTATATATATTTACCACTCGTAATGGAACAGGCATACAATGTGAATGTGTTATGTTGACACAAAGTGATACGTACAGTATATGTAATGCATAAAGTGAGACACAAATCAGTTGTTAATTACCCAGCAGTACTGAATAATCCATATATTATGGGCTGCCTCATGTCTTCTGTGTTTAATATGAAAACGTCCTCTGCAATGGAAAGGTACAGGTACTGTAGAGGTCATTTAGCACTTTACTTCAAACACGACTATAACCCATATTACATCATCACTACATAATTTGCTATTCTCGAAGCAGCATTGCGATACAAAACAACAACATCATCAAACCCCGCATGCAACTCCCACGTGACCTGCTTCTGCCTTCGATAACTCATAAATGATTCTACTTCAACATATAAAGTGTGCGAGAAAACATGGAGGGCTGCATGCTTGAAATCACATTCAGAGGCAGAAAGAGAAGCGCATGGATTAAGGACATAATGAAAATATTAAGAATGATAATTGGGCTTGGGCAGGACGTGTCACTCGAAGGGACGATGACCGATGGTCAAGAATAGTGTGGCATCCAACAAACGGAATGCGCGAGAGAGAGATCACGTCCCCCGAGGAGATGGAGCGATTAAATCAGCTCGTGCGCAGGCGGGGGATTGTGATGATGATGATGATATGAGTCTTCAGTTGATATCTGCAAGGTTTCACTCATTTGATGTGCTTCCCGTGCTGTGGATGTAGGCATGACGACTTACGAAGCTCATCAAAGTGCGTCTCTATGCCTGTGTTGTCCGTTACCGAGCAGACCAGCCTCGCCTTGACAAACGTGCTCCACTTGTTGACAAGGCTGCGCTGACCGCCAGCGTCGTTCTGTGAGTAACCGTTCAGGGTCGTTCAGTCATCAGGCTCTCACGGTAAAAGATTCCGCACAAGGGGCAACGGGTTAATGTAGATAGGAACCTGCATGCTTCACTCTTCACGTGTTATTCCTACCAACAGCTCTTACTGATTATGTTGGGGCATGTATTATGTAGTTTTGTGTCAATCAATGGCACATAAGGGGCCACGGAGGCTAGATGTTAACTACCTAGCCTGGTGTGCAGGTCGTGGGTTCGATCTCGACCTTGACGCCTGCTGTACATTAGGAGTTTGCGTGTCTCTCTCTGCGTGGTCGTGTGGATTTTCTCCGGGTCCTCCGGATTTTCCCTCCACATTTGCATTTAGAGTATTTGGCTGCTATAAATTTCCACATGATAAGCAACTTCGTTGAGCTATCATTTGTGGCCAGGTTGCTTATGAAAACGAACCTAATAGCTCAGTGGGCCACTCCTGGTAAAATAAAATGGTAAAAAAGGTGTAAATCTTGAATTAAAGCTTTGCTGACTGCAGCAATTCATATTCTTTGGGTCATTTCGTAAAGCCACGTAGATAGAAAAATAATAAAATGAATAAAAATAATAACAATATCACGACGTTTCGATCGCAACACAAGCAATCGTCATCAGGTGAAAAATATAGCGGGAGAGCTGCTGAGGCAGGAAGTAATATATCTCGGGAACGCTGCTAAATCAGGGAGTTATAAAGATTTGAGATGGGTGTAGCCAAATGGTCAGTGGGCGGGGCTAGAGATTAAATTTGCATGTAAATGTAAGATCGGGTAAATCTTGACAAACGAAGCTGTGGGGGTGGCCGTTGTATTGTGAGAGATTGGCATGTCAATGTAAGAGATTTGCTTGTAAATGTAAGAGATTAGCATGTCAATGTAAGAAATTTGCTTGTTAATGTAAACTCGGAGAGAGCTCGGAAAGAGCCATGGCCACATGGAGGTGGAACAGGATGGCAAGCCGCCATTTACTAACACAGCTAACGGTGGCTGTGTTAGTGTATGTAACTCAGAGTGTCGAAAATTCCTGCAGACGTGGCCAGATCAGAAATCGCTGCAATCCTCGAAAACCACTAAGACACCTACTAGCAGCATCAGCAAGGATGAGCGCCTTGAGCTTTCGCAACTAAAAAAGAGAAATGACAGAGTAGTCATCCTCTCAGCCGACAAGGGCAATGCCACTGTCGTCATGGACAAAACCACATACAATAACAAAATATCAGGACCTACTTAATGATGGCAGCTATACCAAAATCAATAGAGATCCTACCGACCGCCTGGTTACGAAAACCAACAACACCATTGGGCTACACCTATCTCAAATCTTTATAACTCCCCGACTTAGCAGCGCTCCCGACATATATTCTTTCCTGCCTCAGCAGCTTTCCCGCTATATTTTTCACCTGATGACGATTGCTTGTGTCGCGATTGAAACGTCGTGATATTGTTATTATTTTTATTCTTTTTATAAAATGTTTGATCTGCGTGGCTTTACCGAGAGACCCAACGAATAAAACAGTGTATTTCTTACAAAAGGGTCTTTGTCTAATTATGTTGAAACTGGTCCTTAGTCTGAATATATCAAACCAATATTGTGAACAAGATGTATTTCCATAAGGCTGTATGGCCAATCGGTTGTGCAAAAAGTACTTTTATTTTTTCATGTGGAGAAACAAAATTGAAAGGAGATGTATTAATGTTGTTATCACAGAAATACCAGATGCTACCATATGAATCACAACCGCAGTTATCTAAACTATCATTCATGTAGTTTATTGTTTGTTACTTTTTACGTGTAACATTCAGTTTAACCACACAGCTATGAAGACATGTTTTGATAGTTTCGTATTTACTGTGATTTCCTACCAAAAAGTAATCATAATTGACATGGTGAAGTGAGATGGATGGTAACAGCACTGGTCTGTGAGAGATGGTGCTGTTATGGGAAGGCCTTCAACCGGCTTTAAATAGACAACGGCTGATATTGACGAACAATACACAGCCCATTGCCAGTCATGGAGGTTTATGGCTATAATTCACTGCCTTAGTGGAATTTAGTGATGGGATTCCAGTACCAGTTCAGATATAACACGCCACTGATATTATCTGTGGCCAGGAACCAGCCTCATCTTGGTGGGTATCATAGTGCAGTATACTAACTGTGCCACTGTTGCTCCATATCCATAATATAAATGACATACAGCGTTTGTTAGATGAAGTTCCCCACCACGCCCAAACCTTCACATCATGGGGCATGTTTGACAAAACTTCATCGACGTTGGTCCGTGCAAATGTGAGAACGGGTGGCCCAGAACAAGTTCAGATAGCACTCGCCACTGATGGAACTCATGGGTCGAGAATTGAACTTAGGTTGCTGAGTTAATAGTGCAGTGCGTTCACCACCGCACCACCACTTCACTGAGTATACTGGACCACAATGTAGTGATTACAAGTTTTAAAATGTGTTAATGCTGCCAAAAGGTGGCGACTGGAGCTTGAGTTTTGAATATGCGTATGTGCTAATATATCTGAGTTGACCATGTCATCAGGTAACTTGATAGAAATGCCTGCAAAGTAAAAATATACAGGAACATTGGTGGATGTCTGAACGACAGCTATTCTATTGCACTTTTTTACAGTGATTCTGTCTTCCTGAGGATTTTATTTTTAAGTATTATGTCATGTAGAAAGTTGCAGAGAATATTCATGATCACAAATGTAATAATCTTAATATTTACAAAGGGCTTGAAAATTAACTTGCAGTGTACTGCATATATTCACTTAGCAGTGTCTAAAAATAACAAAACATCTATTTTAAAAATGTAAATCCTTCCTCAGGTTTCTGTTTAATCTGCCTCTTGGGGCCAACTGACAAAGTATATATTCGGTTTCCGCAGTCTAATTATAAGTTTCCTATGGCTGTCTATAAATAGTGCGATAATACTAATGAAATACAATGAGGTATAATTATTTAGTCATACAATACGTCTGAAAAGTTCACACATTCAAGGAAATAAAACGTCACCAGGCAAATTCTCCCAATGCGAGAAACGGACGTTTTCCCAGTCCCTCCGTTAGCTGATTTCTCTCGGAAAAAGAAATAAAGCTTGTCGTCATTCCTGTCGCTGCTTTCTGGGATCCTCTGGATGGCCAAAAACACCGGCTCTGTAAACACACATGGCCAAGCATTTCACGGCACTCTAACAAAGTGTGAATAATTAAAGACGGATGAAACAAAAATAGCGCTGGCAAAGCGCGTGCATTGCGTGAGACGAGTATATGCTTTTCGCAAAAAAGTTTTTTTTCTTTCTTGACTTCGCTTTTAAAACACGCGAGCACCAACCGTTTAGCCACTTTGAGTTGTACTGGTCAGAGCGTATCGGGGGAAGCCTTCCCATCGTTTTGAAAATGGCTGCGTCAGTGGCCATGAAGTCGGTGTAAACCGCCGAGTAAAGCTCCTCGTCTGGTCGCACAACAACAACGAAAAAAAACCCAGAGCAATAGATCACAAGATAAAGCGCTCACTTATTGCAACTGTGACCTCTACTCCATTTAACAACAAAAGGGGAGTTTGATTTGTTTTAATTCAGGCAGCATGAATGGAGTGATGAGTAGTAACAGGAATGTTTAGTCCAACGTATTACCAAAAACCAGGTCATTGCAGAACTGATCCACGCTATATTATCGTCAAATTTTTTTTTAATTGGTTGAATAAATATTTTCGTCTATCTATTGATAGCAATCACGTGTACAGTTCTTTGTGAGCACACTGCTTGGAAGACAGTCTCCCCATGTGGTTTATGGGGATATCTAGCCATAGGTCAACACGCTTGTCAGTGCTGTTGGTGGTGGAGGTAAAGAGCGTAGATGTGGAGGCATAGATATACAGTACAGTAAAACGATGTAATATGTTGTTACTGCTCTGTACTCTCCACAACATAGCCCTGCAGCCTATAGAAACCTACTGTGAATTGGTAAACCATCCAAGCACTATCCAAGCGAGGCCCTGCTTAGCTTTCTATAACTGATGAAATTGGACACATTGAAGATACTCTGGATAACATTAATATTTAAATGCATGAATTCAAGCTGAATATACATATTCTTGGTTCTTTCGGTAAAGTCATGTAGAAGGGAAACAATAAAATAATAAAAATATAAAACAATATAAAACATTAAAATTCTCACGACGTTTCGACTGCAACACAGACAATCATCATCAGGTGCTTGTGTTGCAGTCGAAACGTCGTGAGAATTTTAATGTTTTATATTTTTTATTATTTTATTGTTTCCCTTCTACGTGACTTTACCGAAAGAACCAAGAATATGAATCCCTGCAGTCACGAAAGCTTTACATCAAAACTGAATATACATTTTTAAAATATGTTTATGAAAGTAAATATGGATATGTAGCCATATGAAAACTAGATAAACACTGCAGGTTTAAGATAATAAAAAAGTCACAAAACTCATATCCATAGCCTGAGAGTAAAACATTCAGCGTTAGAATCGCGTTTTTAATGCTGTCAAATTAAAGGCTTAAAGGTTGCTTGAAGGTTGCATTTTCATGACATCATGACAATAATTATAATAGATTGTTGTATTTTATACAGTTTGTGCCTTGTTGTGAGGTGTGAGATAATTATCCATGATACAGGTTTTTTGTTTATTAGATCGCGTAAGTATAAATGTGTCGTTAAACCCGCCACCACCTGACACAGCCAATTGGTAAGGTTTGTCACGTAAACAGAACATGCCAATTCGTTACTAGTACAGCACACCGGTATGTTGGAGAGTAAATCTGCAACATTTACAATCTGAGTACGACGTTTCACCCGTAATTACAACTAGCTTCATCAGGCATCAGTCAGATTTGTGGAGAAATCCTCCTTAAATAGAGGCATAGATGTGATGGCGTCACTTGTGAGCCCTTCTTGTGCGAAGGCCAGAGATAATTATGAAATAAAAAAAACGATATGATTGTAACAATTATTGTTATGAATTATTATGAATATTTGTCTATATTTGCTCATGCTTGCCATTCATTAATTTCACTACTAATTACATGTTACTTTGTGCTTGGGGTCAATTAGTCCCGCGTGATTAGCAATTACCATGAGTTAAATTTTATATATACTTTTTATTAATGCAGACGAAACGTATTAAAAAGACACTAAAGTTTATTTTAAATACGGTACGTGTGCAATTACGTATGTTGTTCTTGTAATACAATGGACAGAGCTGAATGTAAGTAAGGCCACGATCGCCAATGTCTTTGAGAGAGGACGTGACATTCGTAGAGGGTGAGAGAGAGGTTGTTGTATTTTATACAGTTTGTGCCTTGTGTACTTTGTTGTGAGGTGTGAGATAATCTGCAGTGGCAAGGAGATATTCGTTTTCATTACCACAGCCGCAAGGTCACATACTTACTTGCCATGAAAGAAATGCTCTCAAGTTTAGGGCTGTAGGAGCATTTCCCCCTCCCGGAGTCTGCTTTCTCCACTGGGATTTTTAGTTCCACGTTCTAAAAAAATATACGTCACATAAACTACAATGCAGTCAATCACAAATAAATTAACATTACCATGCTTACATTTACAGTATGGGTTAGCACATGTACATGAGAACTCCTACCCTATTGTATGGTCACCTTTTGCCCGCAATTTGTGTTATCCGCGGGAGCTGTAGGGTTATTCGTGAAAACTCCCAATTATATATGGCCCTATTGATCAAATTATCTGTAATTATCTATGATATTTCCCAGAGGATAAGTGGAGTATAAATCACGTATAAGAAGATCGCTATATTGGACTCCCACATCGCCACCGGTAGGAAGAGTCGTCCTGCAGCCATGTAGTATTGTGAGGCATAGGCATCTATTAATTCAACTGGGTGGCACTGTGGTTAGAGCGTGCAGTTCGCAATTGGAAGGTTGAAAGTTCAAATCCCAGTCAGGGGTCAGCTCAGCTGTTTAGCCCTCTCTGATAAATTATGAGCAAACCCCTTTGTGGGAAGTCAACGGTGGTTGTGTTATGGACATTCTCTCCCCACCATGAGAGTGTAGAATTTCCACCACTAGCGCAGCACTATAGCAGGAGATAAGCACTTCCTCAACACTCTTTTCAGGGGGAAAACTATTTTATTTAAACTACTATTATGTATTTATTTAAATAGAAATGCCTGCTTTCCTGGTTTTATATATATATTCCGGATTGCCTCTTTATATAATGTGTTTATTATGTCATGTGACGTTGGCAACATCGTTCGTATTTTTTTAAATGTCTTTGCACGTTGGAAATAACAGAAAGCAAGTCAACGATAATCTACACATTGGCAACGTTTTGTTTATACAACTCTTTGACGTGTGCCCGGGTTGTACCATCTACTGTTTAGCATTATATCCAACGTTTTTGCTCCACGTGCTGGAAGCTTCTTCAGGCACTGTTCAGTCCGAAATATTTGACTTTGCGGAACTCAAGAGAAGCTCTCAGCACATGGGTGCAAAAAACGTCAGCCATCATGACGAGCAAGGCACGTAGAACCCGAAAACACATCGCAGAGCTATCTCAAGATCAAAAGGGCGTTCACACGTACGCAGTAATATTGCTAATAAATACCAAGTCGCTTACCTGTGCAAGAGAAGAATGGGTGATAAAAGTACAAATGGGCTGGAAAGCCCCGGTGCCGCAGATGTACAAATGCGTTCTGTTAAATGACTGCACCACTCGTACAAAATTCCCGCATTCATCCTGTGGAAAACTTCTCATAGTGAGGCACGGTTCTTCAGTGGATATTCAAAGTGCTGCTCGTGCATGTATCTTACTGCATGAATACTTTGCACATCGTACTGGAAGAGTATGTCGCGCATCAGAATGCCCTGATCAATTTATCTGCTCATACTAAGTAGTGTATTTATTCATGTTGTGACTGTCATTTTCAATATAAATAAAGAACCAAACATAAAGAGTCATTGCCTGAAACATTGCCTATTATCTACTCTACTTTTATGGCCGTGTTATGGAAGAATGTGTTGAATGTTGTTGTTGCTTGTGCTTGTCCACCACTGACAATGCACTTTCACCAAATAATTTGCCACTTTCAAGAGATGTTCACAAATCTGACCTTTTCAAACAAGGAATTCTTTATCCTTGGTTCTTTCGGTAAAGTCACGTCGAAGGGAACCAAGAATATGAATCCCTGCAGTCACGAAAGCTTTAAATCAAAAGGTATTCTTTCTTAATCTCACACGCACTCGAGCGTCCTTCTACAGTACTCTCTACAACCATTTTCCTCATTCGCTCTGTTTTTTTTTGTCCAGTGCCCGATTTGTGCACGATCATGTTTTATAAACGTTGACATATCCGCATATCCCACAGTCCCAAGCGAGTGGGACACATGCGACATGTGCTGAATATGAACGTGTATAGTATATGCATGTAAAGGACAACTTTTTGCTAACAGTACTGTACATCAAAGTCTAAACAGACGAATGCTTACTTGTTTTGTAGTTAGTGATCCATGACACGAATTAAGTTATTGTTATTGTCATACAAATATGGTCCCTCTGGGCAAGGTGGATTTAATGCACATATTGGCATTCTTTATTACCTTGATCTTAAATCCTCTTTTTTAACCACTCCTCGTGTATAGTAACTGAACAAATATGAATTAAAATAACATATTCCAACTACTACTTCCTATAAAAGCCACAGTGGTTTTTTTTATAAAGAGATTGTCACGTAATGCTGAAGGTGCGTGTAATCAGAGACCCACACATTTGCTTACTTGGGGATTTTTTCCAGCCAGTTTGCATTCTTCTTCCCTCAGTGGCCCAACCGGCCAATGAACCTGAAATGTGTTAACATGTTAATGGCTGTCGACGGCAAGCCACGTCTGCACAATCGGTAGTCGTTTCTTTAAGTGTCTGTTTCACTTCTCTTTCAGGGAGCGGTTCCTAACGCAGAGGAGCTCTTAAGCGGTTATTTTTTTAAGGTGGTGGTGGACCTATAGATTTGGAGTAATTGACAGGGACAGTTCACCCATTCAATTTCCCTCTAGATAGATTCAGGCCCGTTAAAGATTTGAATATCGCACAATAGACGATCTGGGGACCTTAGCAGTAAATCCGTTTTTAGATGCCTTTGATGGTATTTAAAACAAAGCCCAAGCCTATATCAAGTGGCTTACTTTGAGAGGCGTCCTGCTGATATTATTCATATCGAGTGAATAGACGTAATCCTTTGCTCCGATATAGATTCTGTCCTTGTCTTCGTCCATCAGAAGGATGTGATAATCCGATGAGCCATGCATTGGGTGCAAGTGCTCTGAAGACTGAGTTGCCACGAGTTCTAAGCACAGGGAAAACACATTTCATTATTATTTCTTCTTTCACTCCATTTCTTTTTGTAAGATCTCCCAGACGCAAAGCCATGAAACACAGCATGCGGTGGCAGCGTTTAATACCTCTTGAAAGGCTGCCAAAAAGTTAGCCACCATTTCATGAAAGTGTACTGTTTAAAAAAAACAAACCACAACACAGGTAAAAGATAGAAAACTAAGTTTTTCATTATTATCTTGGTTTCATTAGTGTAGTAGAATTATGAAACACACGTATGCGAATCATACACGTTTACATGATAATACAGAAGTGTTATAAATTATTATTACTTTCCAAATTGAGCAAATAACAATGTTATGGACATGAGTTTGCATATTATGTAGTCGCACCATGTGTGGACCGAATGATTTAAAGATGAAGCCAGTTTTTTGTTGTTCTGCCATCCTTTCAAAACAGGGGGGGGAAAGAATAGCCTGGTGTCAATTCGTGTAGTGCTTCAACTTGACATAGTGTAGGTGGAGTGGTTGGCAAATAACCATGGGAATGGCACCCAAAGGCGCCACTCTGCACTCTTGTGTGTTTTTTTTATCAACCTGCATTGGCGCAGTTAAACCCCTTTGGGCAGAGAAAAAATATGTGGACACACCACACAAGACCAGGCCAACTCTGTACACAAGCTTAGACAGACCACAGTATGTATGTGCCATTTATCAACATGTTATCCTGTTATTTTTAGTTTGATGGACTAATCCAAAAACACATTGGTTTTCTGGATGTACCTACACACCGGTTGTATAGAGTACCGCAATTATAAAGTGAATGCAGTATACGTGTAATATGTGTCCATGCAATGCATCTTGCTGCAATGCAGATACTTGGATCTGTTTTATTTAAATCCATTATTTATTCCATGGCAGGTACCTGTGAATAAATGGTCCTTGTATACTGTACTGGTGTAACATAATACTGAAGGTATAAAATTCCATCCGGTCACAAAAAGTAAAAAAAAAAGCTTAAAATAAAAAATACGTTTCATGTACTTACATCTTGAACCGGCAGAACTTGAATGTAACAAAAGAAGAATATTTGATTGTAAGGTTTATTGTATATCGGAGAATGTATAATCCGCCACCCTCCCAACTCTCACTGATGCAACACTTTTGGCATTTTCTAATTTTCCAGGTAACCTGTAAAATCATCATTTCACACACAGCTCATATATATCCTCAATAATTTTATTTTAAAGAGACAAAGTCCATAAAATGAACACGAAGAGCAAAATCACTCTCTCACGCCACTGCTGGGGGAAGGGCCTCCACTGGCCAGACATCTCAAAAGAGGTGGGAATACCCACGCTTCACCCCACCACACACAACGTGCCAGTCCCCTAACTAAATTAGGTGTTCCCATTTTACTTCTGGGTGGACAGAGGCTGGGGGATTTATGAAGCTCGCCCATTGTTTGTCCTGCCTCACCAGGAGATTGACCCCGCGACCTCTGAATTGCAAGTCCAGCGTGCTAACAATTGCAACGCGGCAGTATCTCAAGGCGCCACGATGGTGAGATGTTACCTCCCTTGCCTGGTATGAAGGAGGTCGTGGGTTCGATCATGATCCTGACGCCTATATATTTTGAGTTTACATGTTATCCCCGTAGTCGTGTAGATTTTTATACAGGTCCTCCGGGTTTTCCTTCAACATTTCGAAACATGCGTTTAGAGTATTTCGTTGCAATACATTTCCACATGATAATCAACTTCGTTGAGCTTTCATTTGTGGCCAGTCGCTTCTGGAAAAAAGAGCTATATAGTTAAAAATAGTTTAAATAGTTTTTACTTAAACAAGTAGTGTATTTAGCAAGAAAGTAATTTACAAACGTTTAAACAACACTATATAGCGATAACATTAAACTCTGAAGTGTAAGCCTTTCTAAAAACGACATTGCTTGTGGACCAGTTAAGATGGCTTCGTGAACTAAAGCTTTGTGGTACGCCGGAGTGTTGTGTAAATCCAGTGGGAAGATGAGTTTCAATCCAGTGCAGAGATGAATGAAAGGACCTTAATTAACTCTTGCGACCACTGGATAGACTACAGGGTTTACTTGGGTGGTCTCCAGCAGGAGAATCTCTGGCAATTTGGCTAAATTAGTTATTGCAATAGGTAAATAAGCAGCGTACACTAATGCTTGCACTGTGAGTCATTAGGTATCGAGTTTCTATGCAGTTAAACATTGACCAGCTATTTCACAACGTATGTAACAGTACAATTGGTATATTGTTTTAAATAAGTAATTTTACAATAAACACGATGGAATGGAACGGTGGCACGAATATTAGTGTGCTGTACAATAAACCCGCAGACCTGAGTTTTATTCCCAGCCGGGGTTAACATCATTATTGTTTGATATCGGGAGCGAGGTTCTGGACCCCTCGCGTCTCCATCATGAACTGACCAGGTTTCAGTTTCATTTCATCTATTAGGTATAACCCTTTGATTTAAAGCTTTCGTGACTGCAGTAATTCATATTCTTAGTTTTTTCGGTAAAGTCACGTTGAAGAGAAACAACAAAATATATTACAGAAAAAACTAAGAATAGGTATAACCCTGTGAGCCATGCGGCTCTTGACTCGGGTGCAACCGCAACAAAACCAAAACATGAGCAAGAAAACATCTTAAAGTGACTACACGCAACAGAAAAATCCTGGCAAAAACAGCAAAGTTTTCCAGGTTGGTGAAGTATGGTCGAATAACTTCACGTAAACTTATACGTAGTGGGTAGGGCATTCACCAAACAGTTGATTTGGCCATGGCTGATGAAAATAGCAAATCGATCATGAGTTATAATCTCTTATTATTTTTGCCTAAAGTATCGTCCGATATGGCAACAGCTCAGAAGTGCATCATCCAGAGGTTGATTGACCATGGGTGATCAGCAGTACAGCATGATATGTTTACAATAGGAACTTAAAGACAAAGACAATAATGTTTTTTTATACTTATGAATTGACCCTGTGAAGTGGACTAGTCACATGCAGAGGCACAATTCGTGGATGTGTTTACTGTGAGAGAATTTCGATTTAAGGAAGGGCTGTATATGGCACTTGTTACTTTGGACTGCACTGTGACCTTTTTAGACAGAGGTAGAGTACTTGCATTTGCCTTAAGTATCACCATGTTATTTTACTATATCATGTGCTCCTCATACTTTTAGAGCCAAGTTGATTGAACAAAGGTATTTTTGTCTTAGCTGGTATTGCTGGATTCTAATGCAAATACGTGCTTTTACATAGTTTCAACTTTCTTTTACTTTTTTAGTTTGATAATTTCTCAACATCCTCTATACAACGTGGTATTATGCAGTTGAGCACAGGACATTTCCTAAATGTAATGTAATTATTCATCAAGTACTGTTATTAAGTTATACGTTTCAGTGCGATAGGTCAAGAAAAATCACAAATTTCGAAATGACAAATTGTATTTTAAAGAAAAGTTATAAAATGTAATGCAAATGTTCTGCTTCATTTCCAATGGCCTTCCTCCCACTGGTGTGAATTCCTCCAGAAAAAAAAAATTAGAGTGCTGAAAACTCAGAAGGCAATATTTACATTTCATTTATGGAGCTAGGACCTCGAAATGGACAACTGTGGATGATAACTTTTTTGCAAAGCAGCATTTTACAATTCCATTAATTGCCTTTTAAAGTATAATGCCGTATTTGCATCCCGACAAATTCGGTTAAAAGTAGACATTAATTCAAACAGTTATAACGTTGTGTCTGTATCTGTGAGTGACATAAGTTCCTCACAGATGTATTATTACAAGCTCTTTTCATGCCTATTAATTGTTTTAAATGTCTAGCGTGAATGGCGACAATTGAACTGTGGACTTCCTATTTCATGAAAGCCACCAGTATTTCCCATTGAATCTTAAAAAGCAGTTGGTCTTAGAGAGGCATTCCAAACTGGCGGGTTGAAGGAGAGGCGCTTTTTTTAACGTTTTGGGGAGTGTGCCAGTGAAGTTTAACGAGGGCACTCTTCGTGAAAGACGTACATTCATTTCACCCGCACCTCCAGTTTTTTTAATCTTAGCGCGGAATAAAAAAAAAATACTCCACACAATGGGGACAAAATAACAAGTGCGAGGAGATATTTTTTCCAAAGGAGGCTGATTAAGACCGAATGTTTTCTTCAGCTCAGTAGGTGCTGATCCTACTTAGCCACCTACAGTGCATAAACCTCAAGTTTCGTGACAAGGAAAGCACAGTTCCTGGATTTCTCTGGACGACTCCAGGAAAACTTGATTGCTTCATTTACCATATATAGATGCTGTGTCTCCCCCCCACCCACCCACCCACCCCCAGTCTCTGTTTGCATATCATAATACATGTACAGCTTATTATTGCTCGTTGTTTTTACTTTTAGCCGAATGCAAAAATCTTATTTTTTGACACGTGCTAACACTGACAGGATATCATTGTTCGTCATTTAAAACCATAGTAGTTATTGTTTTTTTTGTACGGAAAGATAAAAAAGATGTTGTACCTTGAAAGGAGAGGCGTATTCTTGGCACCTTGTGCTGTTGAGCCGTACCGTCGGCGCAGACGATAGCCAGCGTGAGGAGCAGAGCGATGCAATCCATTTTCTGACACCTCTGGGTTGATCAGAACACGTTTAAAAAAAAAGTTACCGCAGTCAGTTTTTTTTTTCACAGCGCGCACAAACCTCTGGTGGTTAGAGAGCGAAGCAGAATGCTCGGAAACATTGTTACAAAAAAGTGAAATCTGTAACGGAATGCTATTAAAATATTTTTTTTGGGGGGGGGTGGCTACGGTGAACAGCTGCTGGCGAATTCTAATTCACGTCCTGTCTGAATGGTGCTTATTCTGAGCCCCTAATCAGTGCCGCGCACACGCAGGCTGTGACTAAACAGAATACGATCATGCGCTTCTATTTTTACATCTACACAGATCAGTTGACAGCCCCGCAAGATCTAAAAGCAAGACAAGCTAAACAGCAGGGCCAGCCCTGTGAGGCATGCTAATAAGCTTGTGTATATATATAAAATATACAACACCTCTTCCAATGATATGGAAAAAAAAATGTTTTAGAATGCCAACTGCACGATGACACACACACAGGCACACGCAATTCCAAAAAAAACGACAGAGTTTGGAGGCGTAAAGCAAAAAAAAAGTATAACAATAAAAATAATAATGATATACATACCATGCACATGTTCAAAGTTTAAGGTGCCCCACGGAAAAGCGAATGTTAGTTCATGGTGTGGCTAAACCGCCGGTGACATTTTTCACCTGCTGCATGCGACAAGCGAGCACGACTGTGAACCCAGCGCGCACACCACGTGCAGCCGTCTTCCTCTGTAGCTACGCCTAATCGCACGCTCTCTCCACAGGCTATTATTTTTTTCTAAAAGAGCACTTTTCGGAGTTTGATCGCGCACATATATATACAAAAAACATTTGTTTCGTCAAAATTCGTCCGCCGACTCTCCCCGGTGGCAACCAACAAACCAGTCTTGTGTGGATTTTAAGTGAAAAAAAAAACAACAAATCTACGTTTTTTTTGTTGTTGCAAAAGTTTGTCAGAAAAAGCGTCCCTCCTTAGTCCACCTAATGCCCCCCTTTTTATATTCAAACGGCGAGTTGATGATTAACTAGCGACGCGGAAGCTCTCCTGCAAGTGTAATGTGTACGCTTGTTTTTTTTATGACTGTCAAATTAAAACGTGGGGAAAATAACGAAGTGTACATTTCATGGGAAAACAATGGTTCGTCTGTTTATGTCCACGACAATTGTGAGAACTCAGTCTACTGGGTGTTCAGTACTAAGCAGATTATTCCACGACTGTAGTCCCTTATTACAACAGGCTGTCTGCCTTGTGTTTTTGACACGAATCAGGTTATCGCGATACATTCGTCCGCTTAATCCCACGAACGGGGTGGTTCTCATGCCGATGAGCTTTCTTTAAATCTTGAACGAGTTTCAGTTACTTACCAATCGGCATTCTTCTCGTGTATGCTGCCTTTCAGTTTCCACGCCGAACAAGCTTAAGAGATTCATACCGTTTTGACGTTGTACAAGCAAGTGACTTCATATAGCGTGTGTGGCACCAAGAAATGTGTCAGTGACCCAAGGCAACATCCTCCAAGATAGGGGATTCGAGATGGTCATGTTACACGAGTTGTTTTTTCTTGTTGCGGGTTTCAATCTTGAACGATACAGTTTTCAAAATGTACAGGGATTTGTGTTTTAATGTAATAAAATACAAAAACACAACCGAATGTCACCTAAATGCTTGGCTTATTTGTAAATTGTCAACAAGTAAAACGAATTATAGTTTGATCATATTTCATTGTCATTTGTCAATCAAGCGTTGACAGACGGCAAGCCATCAAGCTTTTGGCTGGCCATCGAAAATATAAGTTACTGCATCACGCACTTTCAGATGCGCTTCTGCAGCTGTCTGGAATGCTCTTCCTTCCGATATTAGGAAGCCACTGGAGCTATGACCTTTTAACTCAATATTGAAAACGAACTTCTTTAGATCTGCTGCCCTTCACATGCACTTCCGATTAGCACGGTTGGCAACGTACAGAACAAAAGAAGTTCAACATATGTGCATCCATAGTGTTGGACGAAGGCCTTTCCACACTGTGTTTATCATTGGGGTGATTCGTCCATACCTCACGATGCTGGTCAGGGCAGTTTGGTGAGAGAGGGGCAACAGGACCAATATGATGCTTGCCATGGCTGAAAATTTCACTCAGGCCTACCGGTTCGTAGCGCAGTGCACTGAGTACAGTGCCACCCCTCTAGCCCAAGCAACAAATAACAGAGGATTGAATGTGATACATATTTGCCCCTTTTCCAGGGCTTATTGAGAAGCCCCATAAATGCGTAGCAATCCTATTATATATGCAATGGCTGTATACGCCTTCTGTACTTGTTTCTTATGGCCTCAAATGTGCAAATTAAACATATACATTTCATAACAGCTGGTTGTATAACTTGCGCGTACGCAATTGGACGTGCATTTCATACTAATTCCCCATTGCACATTTACTTAAGCCCCACGACTGTGGGAACTACGGAGAGGACATTTTAAATGCGGTTTAGGGCTGGTATACCTTGCAATGTGTGTACAAGTGGCGCTGTTGTCCCCGACCTTGGCACACGGTGGGAACGTGCACGTTCGAATGAGACTTTACAGTCAGTGAATTTCATAAACATTCCACCAGTCCTACGAACTCAAGAGAAAAAAAAGGACTTTGGTCACAATGCTTCTGTGCTTTTTGTGCCTTTGAGGTGGGGGCCGGGGTGGAGGTCACTGCGTGTCATGCATTGCATGCTACATTCTTCTGGTCATGGTAACCGATAATAAAATTACTCGGTGAAAATCGCGCAGCTCATGCCCAAAACTCAAAAGGTCGCGGCAGTGTGAGTCGCATATGTTACAAGGCATGTTTTGTTTTTTTAGATATAATTTTTGATGGCTCGAAAACGTGTCTGGAATGTTAACACCTGATGATCAAGAAGTACGGCAAAGTAATGCCTCTCTTTTTTTTACTGATGCTGACGTGACATCGTTATTGTGAGACTGCAATGAGAAGATTCAATTGCAATCCTGCACATTCAAATATAAATGTTTGTACACGATACTGTGATTTATTGCAGATTTTATTTGTTTCATAGTGAAGCACTGATCTACTAATGATTGCCACAAGAAAGGTGCATTAAGTGTGTACAGTCACAGTTGAGTTATGCAAAACATTTATATTCATGAGGCAATCGTGGGACTGAAGGTAGTTTTGATGGTAACAACAATTTCTGTTGAGTGATAAACAACAAATACACTACATATATAGCCTCAACTGGAGAAAAGCCTTTAGAAAATAAACATTTGTTACGTGGAGGGCAGTAGTATCGAGGGGCATCACTAAACTTACTCTGCTACCTCAAAACAGCATTCTGCCACTACTGACATGGAAACAATTCAAAACTATATATATCTTGAGCTCAAACAAGATTAACATCATTTTATCAGCAACATATCTTCTAGCTTATGTTGCAGATTCACTTGTTACTGTTTCACACCTTCAATTAAACAATGCACACATACCACAATAATGTACGTGCATAAACTAAACTATGATATGATACTACGACATCACAAATCCAGAGCATAGGGCCAATAATACATGGGCGTAGGTATTGTGAGGTGAGCCGATCTTAACAAACGTCAAATTAGAGTATAAATACATATCCATGGTATTGGCTCATATTTTACAAACACTTTTCACTTACCGCAGCTAAACTGTTTCAAACGCTTGTATTTCAAACCAAAGATAATCACTGGTTTGTTTCTGCCATTCTGACAAGCAGTTTATTTATTTGTTTAGTATTCTGGAAAAGCTTGCACGCAACCAATCGCAGCTCCTGCGATGGGCTGCGTGTGCCCAATGAACATGGGTTGAAACCACTTACTGGTAATATATGTTGTGGCTGTGTTCAGTTGCTTGGAGGCTTTTGTCCTTGCTTGTGGGTGGTGGTGGTGGGGGACACACACAATTGCCCTTCCTTTTTACATCGGGAAAAGGTCAATTAATCTTGTACCGTAGTGAAGCTTTCACTGTGTCTTAAATGCCACAACACGGTGGGCTGTTCAATTTATAATTCGCGTACAAAAGGCCCTCCTCATCGCCTCTGCTGTTGCCTTCAATAAAGGCTCAGTGTTGGTTGCCCAGGTGACACCAGCTAGGCGTAAATGAGTGTTGGCCGTGAGCACAGCTGTCTTCTTTTAAGGGCACTCCTATTTCGAGGAAGGGGGGGGGAAGAGAGAGAAAAAAAGACCAGACACTAACTGAGTCAGTTAATGTGACCGGAATGGGCACACGTGGCAAAAAAGTGGGTCGGTGAGTGTTGATGAAAATATTTGGTGCTTGAATTTGTTTTTTTCCCCTCAGTCCACAACGTCGGTAGGGGCTGTCCGTTAAAGAGATACGTGTCGATACAAGTACAGAACAAAGCATTATTTGCGCGTATTCTTTTACAGTTTTGTCTACAACTTTTTGTTTAAACATCTGATTCAATGTGGAGACAAATTAAAAGTAACACAGACGTAAGTGTGTGTGTGTGTGTTTTTATGCGCAGTCTATGCTTTCAGTAATTTTAGTTGCAAGCGACTTTCAACCGGAACAAAATGGTCTTCTTTTGTGAGTGATGAAATCTTAAAGGGCTTTAATTTCCACTTCATATATGGTGGACCTTTGGTAAAAAAAAATCTAAATCCCTGTAAACACTGCAGTTAAACCATCAACTGCAGGGAAAACAGCCCAGTAGTTTGTTGTGACCGCTAGACCTTCCATTCTCTTGAACTTCTTACCAAAAAAATGCAGGCATTAACATTTTCATTCATTATATAGTAAAGCAATTACGAGATGAATTAGCTCTTTATTCTCACTTAGAATTTCATTGAGATCATTAAATTGCGTAAATGTTACAGTATATTTTCAAACACAAAAAAAGTAAGCCGACATGGCATGTGACTCGGTGTTTTCCACTCCTGCGATGTCGAACACTATTTAAAGTCTGGACACCGCAGAGCGAGATTCCGGAATGTGTCACAAAGTTTGCCAATGAAATGAGGGGCATTACCGGCGTCCTGTCAGCCAAAACAGCAAGTGTTTCATTTAACTAAATGGAACAGGTGCAGACTCCAGTTTGAAATCATTACATCGTTTCGATGACCTTTCTTCGCCCAGACAGATAGTAATAAACTTAATAATGCTTACAGTTAACGTGATGTTCAGACACTGCCGCCCGTGACCTATAGGGTCTAGTTACAGTGTTTTGTTACCAACTTAAGGGATCTAACAAGTTGTTCTCAAGGGATTAATGAGCTGAGAAAAAAAACACGACGAGTCCATACAATCATACTCGTCTCCAATGCGTTTTGTCCAGTAATCTACATTCATGAGTTAGGTTTTTTATATATTTTTGAATTATAATTTTCACCCGCAATGTGCATATTTTGTTGGCATTTTATTAAAATAGGTTATGCTACGTTGGCAATTTAAAGCAAATGAACTACTCCCACATTCTTAGCAAATGTTTAATGGTTGGTGCATTAATATATCATCTACTTGATTTATCTTCATGACCCAATAATACATCGATATGCACCCCACACAAAACATACCTTAACCTGACCAAACTACCAGTCCTAGTCACTCACGTAACTGATATACATAAGCCTCAATTTGGCAGTGTTTGACAGCTGATGAGACACTAAATGTCCAATCCAGTCCAAAGTTTTCTGATATTAAAACAATACTGCTGAAATAATGCACTCCCAGAATGCTGTGTGATTGATGGGATGTTTATATATATACCAACTTGTGGAGGGACAAATATGTGGTGGTATATTTTTGGCATATTAATTTAGTTATTTGGAACATAATATGTATTGACTCATTGTGCATTAATACTAGATACTGCTCAAATGTTGTAGTTTGTGTTTCTTGTCTAAGCATGTATGGTTCTTCCATCATAACATCTTGAGGGGGTCTTTTACAATCTAATTTCAATTCCTGATAGCCTCAAATTATCTTCTGCAGTTGTAAGATATTATAAAATGCTATCGCTGTGGCATTTCGAGCCACAGTGTGTGTGTGTGCGCGTGCACGTTTGTGCTTTTGCATGTGCATGCGTCTGGTAATTCTATCTGGGTGTGCATATAAAGTAATAGCTTATTCTGCACGTGTCAGTAATGCTTTGTGAACGTAGCTGCCAAGGCCTTTGCGTACAAGAGCATCTAAAAATAATACAGATTGTCTCATAG